AATTTATTATTAGATTTTGATTAATCTATTAACTTTTATTTAATACCTGATAAATTAATTAATATAATTACATTATTTACTAACATATCTAAATAATTTAAAACTCTAATTTATCTAAAAATATATGTGGACATATATATAAAGTTACATAGATATTTCACATAAAGTTACTGCAATTTTTGACCAATAATTGACTTTTTAAATTAAGAGTCGACTCTTTTTCCCTAGGAGTTGACTCTCCATAAAAAGAGTCAACTATACCCACCACCCAGAACTTTCTCTACTCTTTAGAATTTGGGAGTCAAATGTTGACCCTCTATAGTCAACTCTTGGAGGCTTGAAAGTCGAATCTTAATGTACAGAGCCGACTCTAACCTTCAGCAGGATGTTCAAACCTCTTTGGATTTTGGGAGTCGAATATTGACCCTCTATAGTCAACTTTTGGAGGCTTAAGAGTCGAATCTTGATGTATAGAGTTGACTCTAACCTGTAACAAGATGCTCGAACCTCTTTGGAATTTGGGAGTTGAATGTTGCCCCTCTATAGTCGACTCTTATAGGCTTGAGAGTTGAATCTTAATGTATAGAGTTAACTATAACCTACAGCAGGATGCTCGAACCTCTCTAGAATTTGGAGTCGAATGTTGACCCTCTATAGTTGACTCTTGGAGGCTTTCAAAGTTGAATCTAGCTTTTAGATTTGACTCTTTACTGATAAAGAATCGACTCTGTATATAATTATCTATTATATCTTTATATTACATTTTTTTTTCAAAATTCTACAATTTTTTTTTTGTTTCTTAATAAATTAAAGGATATAATAATTAATTAAGATAGAAAGATATGATATTAGTATTTCAGGACGTGAAAAAAAATTACCTATATAATTACACTTCATACCATAAAATCAAAAAAAGTTATCAACTAAAACATCTATTAACATTTTTAATTATTATGTTCACTTATTATAACTACATTTAATATCATTTAATTCATAAATTAAATTAGAAATCAAATCAATTATCTTACCATTAATTTCAATTTAAGTTTAATTATTTATATTTACTTGTTATATAAATTTCATTATTAAAAAATACCCTTGCAATTAAATCAACCAAAATTTCTTGAACACCATTTCCCAATACCCAAACACAACAATTTTCTCAGCATCCAAACACAAAATGAAACAAAATCTTCAAACTCCATTTCATATTATATAAGAATTCAAGTAAAATTTACTTATAAAAACATATTGAAATGAAAATTCACAATTAATTCATAAAATCTAGATTAATCACCAAGATCTAACTTCCTACCAATCCATATTTCCAACTGAATGTTCTTTTCCTTTTTCATTTCAAATTCTAAACATGTAAGATGGAGGAAAGGGGTTGGTTTGAGAAAGAAGAGAAGGGAAGGTTCATGAACACAAACCCAAAAATGGGTTCATGAACCCAGAGTTGGGTTCATGAATACAAACCCAGATCTGGGTTCATGAACCCAAAGCTGGGTTCATTAACAAAAACCCAGATCTAGGTTCATGAACATGAACCCAATGAAAAAAGATAAGAGGGGAAAGTAAAAAAAAGCTGAGAAGGAGAAGTAGACACAAAAAAATGAAAAAAATAAAAGGAAAAAGGGAGGAAACGGTTGCTGCAATAATTGAGGAGAACAGTTGTTGGAATAATGGAGGAAAGGGAGATAATGGAGGAGAACGATTGCTGGAATAATGGAGGACAGGGAGAAGTTAATTGCCAGAGCTGTTGAAAGTTAATCTCACTTTTTAGGGGATTAGGTGCTATAGAGGTATTAGCAACATTGTGCTTGTTGCTTAAATTCACTTTCAGCAACATCTTCCTTATTGTTAAAAGTTCAGGCAACTTTCCCACACCAGAGAATTTTAGCAACAAGAGGCATGTTGTTGAAAGTTGAGTTCACTTTTTGGGAAATTGACAACTTTATAGGTATTAGCAACATGAGTTTTGTTGGTGAAAATCTATATCACCAACAAGCAATTCAATGTTGTTGATGGTTAATTACTAAAAAGAAGAATTTTTGTAGTGCTTACCCCACTCACATACCATTTGATTTAAATTTGGAATTTTTTATTTTTAACGAAAGAAAATTATTGTTAGACTATTTAAATTGTTGGTTTCACCTTTTATTTTTGGTTATTTAGGTTTCTTATGTGGAAGCTTTCCATAGGCTCTTTTACATATACTTTATTTAAAAATATAAAATTTTAATTTTTAATTAATTATTTATATATTTTTTATTAATTTTAATTAATATTTTATATATTTAAAAAGAATAAAAAGACAAAATGCTACTGTAACACAGCGCAACACACTACAGCATCGCGAAATCAAGCTATAGCTAGTAAAGAAGATTATAAGAAGGAAAAATTCTTATAAATCTCGACTTTAGAATTTTAATTGATGCATTTCTAACTGGATCCAAAAAGATGTATATAACTTGAATTAACTCTATTGGACCAATTTGGGCAAGAAAAAACTTTCTTGGGTCAATACCGGCTGGTGCGAACCCATTTTTTAGTATAACAGGCTCATTCATTATCATTTGGGTTTTTTTAACTTTATTTTCATACTTTTGTTGAATATATAGATATGTAGGCAGTGGGTCAGGGATTTGGGCCTTAAAATAATAGACCTATTAGGCCGGGAAAGGCCCGGCTCAAATAAATTAACCCCAAGATCTAAAGAACTTACAAAGTCATTTGTGGCCCAAGCACCACCAGATGAGCATAGAAATGGTGGATGAAAATTGAGATTGGATTGCGCATTAAAAATATAATTTAATATACAAATTTATTAAAATATTTTAATAAATTTATTTTTTATATTATTTTATTATTAATAATTTAATAATATTGATATTCGACTTGTAAAACATAAATTTCATATCATATATATTGACCACATTAAAGAATTACTTTTTCTTACATTTTTTTTGTAAAGATTCAGGATTAAACCTTTAAACTTGTAATTAAAAATTTAAATAACTCTATCACTAAACCACGTAATTGATAGTGCCAACATTAAAGAATTACTAGTATATCATATATTAGTCTCATAAATAAAAAAAATTTCATTTTCGTTTCTCCTAAACTAAAATGGTTTTGTACCTCACCGCAGATCGAAAAAGGAAAAATGAAGACCACCACACTGTCCCCACTTGGGAAAAAGGGATTCTATACCCACATTTTGCAAAAGTTAGGGTTCCAACCTTTTTTCATGTGAAAAGATCTATAATGCCATAATGGTGTCACGATTCAAATTTAAATTTTTTATTGAAAATTCAATTGCTCTTACGAAAAAGAGATAAATCAAAAGCGAATATATTATTGATCTTTAAACTTTTTCTAATTCAATGGATTAATTAACTAGACTAAACTAGTGGCGCCGTGGTAATAGAAATTCTAAACATTCATTTGTAAGCAAATAGTAAATAACAACTAAAGGAGGGTGAGGAGGAAAAGTTGCTTCTTTTGTTCTCTAGAACCGAATAATCTACAGCTAAATGGAAAATCCTATACTAAATCATCTTTAACGGTCTACTTTGCAATAAAAAATCAGTTTAATTATAATAGTGATGATCACCATATTCATATGCAATGTTTTTAGTCTAAATTAAGTCTTGATTCTTATAATATATCACATTCTTAAACTTTTGCAAGGGAAGTGGGAGTGGAAAAGATGTTCGAAATAGACAAGCAATAACTTAGTATTTTATCTCAATTAAAATGGTGGAAATTTGTCACCTAGATAGACCCTGAGAAGAGGATTTTGTATTTCCTCTTTTACTTTATATAGCTGTGATTGTTGTTTATTAAATATTATAATAAATGTTTATACTTTTTTTCTAGATGTTTTAACGGTAAAGAATTTAAGATTTCAAATTAAAACTCTCAAATTCAAATATTAATAGACTGAAGAGGAAATTAAAAAAAAAAAGATTATTTCATTGCATAATTTATCATTAAAATATACAAAAAAAAAAATACTATTAACATTTAATGTTGAAGGTTTGGTGGATTCAATCCATGAAGTGGATTTTAAACCCACAAAACCTTTTAAATAGAAGGCAAGCATTGCAAATTTTATATTATGGCTTCCAAATTAGAGAGAATGTACTAAACTAAAATTAAGGTTAAATAGGTTTAGAGTTAAAGTGGAAATAGTGATGATTATTGATTAATTTACAATTGATTTTGGCCCCAAAAAATGTACTACAATTGATTTTATGAAATTAAAGTGATTTCTGTAAGTTCAAAGCGGAGCATGGATGACTTGCATGTATTTAATCGAATTAAAGAGATAAACCTGGTCTAGTCTTTTAAAAGATTATTTTTCAAATGAGGAAGTTAGTATCTGGCAAAAAGACAAAAAAAGAAAAATAAAAAAGTAGGTTAGTGGGTTATCTACCATAAGATTTCCAAAGGACGAATCCAACTAAACTAACAGTAGGAAAACGATTCATTGACTATATTTATTGACAAAACAATCTTCACAACTCACTAATTTTTATTGAATCATTTTACTTAATAAACACGAAAATTAACATGTATTTATTTATTTAATATTATATTATTATTATCATATTATTATTGTAAAAATTTGTTATTAATAAATATTTTATGCAAAGAATTATTAGACCAGAGTACAGCGGTCGCCTTGCCCCAGGAGTATGCATGTGGAGCCATTGCAACAAAGATAATATCTCAATTCTGTGGTTCAGAAAAAACAAAAGAGATATCTCAATTGTATAGGGTTTGTTTCTAGTCAGAATCGTGCCAAACCCCACGTCGTAGAATTCGTCAAGAAAATCATTTTGATTAGAGCAGTGATGTAGACAACGAAAATTTAGAATTAATGATATAATAGAAGGTATATTATTAAATAAATTAATATATATAATATTATTAATTTTAAAAAATAAAAAATTAATAATTAAATATATATGATTAATCTTTTTAATATTTTAAATAATATAACTTACATTATGTCATTACATTAATATCAAATTTTCATAAAATTCATCCATTTTATCATTATTCTTTTTATCATGGATGACTTGCTTTATGGTGTCCAATTCCGTTCTTGTAGTGATGTGCAACCCGAATACACATCACATTATTATATCATCTTCGTCGATCCGAATCTATACACGTATCTTGTTTGGACAACAACCTTTTGCACAACCTCAACTCGAAATGATTCGAAAAATATCAATATTTTCTTATCACAAAAAAAAAAAAGAGTAAAAATTTATTCTTAATTTACAATACCACATAATACTATAATTTTACAATTATAATGTGCTTATATATAATTAACTTTTTTATTTAGTGTCCATGTATTCATAAATCGATATTATGTAACATATTTAATGTTGTATCATCATTATAAACTTATAAT